GTGTCTGCTAGACTGTTGGTGTCATTACACTGAAAACATAGATCTACAACACAGACTATTTTTAAATAAGTGAAAAGGCTCATACAGTATTTCAAGGAAGGCAGTCAACCAATAATGAAAACCCCAACTATAGTAGCAAAACAATATTAATTATAAAGTTATGCATATTTTCCATGTGGCTTATTGCATTTATTCTAAGCATTTTTGCTTCCTTTAGAACAATGCTCTCAATCTTAACTTAATGCATTTAACAAAAATAATATTTTTCCCACAGGCTAGAACAATAAGGAAAATGCCTATTGTTCAGACTGCATGAGTACAAGGTACTTTATTATTTTATGATTCGTTTGCTTTTCTACCATTATTAGTATTAAAAGTGGTGAGGACCAAAATGTTCACAGAGATCTTCAGCCAGAATGTTAGTGTATATTCACTATAAAAAATATGGTTGACACAAAAGTAAGGAAGGGGGATGCCTAGATCATAGGGACTGTGGAGGTATTCTCGTACCCATGCTTTAGAAGTTGCAAACGACAGTTTACATACCAAGGGGCACCATAAGATATTCTGCAGCTCTACAATCATAACTCAGGGCATATATTCTTAATGGTTTCATATATTTTTAATGTAAATAAAGCTGTGATTAAGTAAAGCTCTGAATGTCAGCCTTCACGTTGTGAATTAGAAATGTTAACTAGAAATATTAGGTAAAAAATATAGCACCATCCCATAAAAAATTGCTTTCTCTTGTGCTCTGGCAGACAGCCATGTTTTACATCTGTAGAAAGAAAACTTTCTTGTGTGTAGAATAATGAGAACGTTTTGGCACTGTGTTTTGTAGCTTGAGGAGTAACTGTGAAAAAGAAGAATAAAAAACAGAAGCAAACTGTGCTTCAGAACAAAAAGGACACAACGAAGCTCAAACTGCAGACAAGTTAGACCTAAAGTTCAAAAGGTTACAGTGTCATAATAGCAGCCTCCTTAATGCATATACAAATTAAGGAAATGCTGCTTAGTGCTAATGATGTAAGAAAGCATACTGATCACTGAAGGATATAGTTATGCACCTTAAATGCAAATAAGTAATCTTATAGTTTAAGATGATAATACATATTTAACACATTTTAAAAATAAGTATTTTACCTTTCTTTCATCACCTTTCTTGATGGTTATCATCTATCAATGAGCTCACTGTAAAGCTTGAAAAAAATACTATTTTCTAGTCCTAACTGTTCAAAACTAAAAACACACAAATAAGCAAGGAAATACAATAAAATTAGCACAACGTTTAATTCACACTTTCCTCACATTTAGAGACAATCTAATATTAAAGTGCAATGCATCCCAGTTTCATGTTACAATTTAACCATATAATATAATATCATTTTGTGGCGGCAATAACTAGGGTTACCTTTCTAACATTTAACTGAAGTTATTAACGATGAGTGAATAGAACCATTGCACATGGTGGTAGAAATGTAGAGATAAACTTTAATTTGTTTTGTTCATCTAAGTCTGAGTCAAAAGTGATAACTGTAGCCTGAGCAAAGAGAAGGATTATTCCTTGCATAAACTTCACTCATGCCAAGACACAAAATTATGCACTGATACTCTTCAAGAACAGAGAGTACTTGTTTACATGTGTAAGGACTGTGCTCAGAAATACCAAGAAATGCGTAAGAAGACACTTCAGTCTGTCCCTGAAACATTTCATGATAATAAAACCTATCACAGCTGGCTTGCATTCTAATTCCCACACAAACTACAAAAATGGGACAGTCTTTCTTTTAACAACTGTTTGTCCAAACATTTATAAAGCATGGAGTGAACAAATAAAACATGCTTTAAATGTGTGGCATCAATTATCAAAAATATAGATCTCAGTTCAAGTCAGATAATGCATTTTACACATTCTATTGCAGAAGAGAGGTACACTCTGAGGTAACCTCAAAAAGAGCAAGAAAAATTCCACCCATGAATTAAAGTTTGATTGTATGAGAATCTCTTATTTTATCCTTAGTTCTTATCTCTTATTTAATTATCTGATTAGCAACCAAAGCAAAAACTGTATGTGTGCATATTGTGAATCCTAAACATCTAATGTTTACTTATGTGGTCATGGATCTGTTCTGATTTAATAATTAATTAGCAACGCCATCACCTATGCAAAGCCCTGAATGAATGTACAATCTATCACTCAGCAAAAACAAGTCAATCCTAAAGCACTGAACAGTCTAAAACTGGATTATATAAAATTTATATTTTACAAGATTTAACAAATGCTCTGTAGATGCAGCTCTACAGTTAAAAGATAAGCCTAACATACTGGGAACTTTATATACCAATAACTATATAGCACATTCATGAAAATAAGTCTAAGTTAATAAACTATTTCCTGGAAGAAACAATTAAAGGATCTACAATGTACACAAAACTCTAAAATAGGAAAGACTGATCTCTTACAGTGTTCCTTCTGAAGAGGCTATTGCTTCTTATTTTTACAGTTCGCTCTGTAATTGAAAATGACAGTTCCATATAGGTACAAGAAGCCTGGATATATGAGTTCTGGTCAAAGTGGATACTAGTGAAGTTCAAAGGAATAACCTCAGCAGACTTCCAGACTGTTACACCTCCAAAAATATGAACACAATCAAAAGCCAACAGAGTGATAAATTGGGTTCCATACTTCAGTGATCATTTTATGCTTACATCCCCATATCTTCTATGTAGCCTGCTGTGACCAGCCCTTATTATACCATACAGACGACACAAAAATGAAGGCAAAAGTTGGCAGCCATCACATCTGTGAGGATGGTGTCAACGCGTATGTAAATGTAGCACAAGGGAAACAGTAAAGGCAGCAGTACAGTTTTCTTCAAAAAACTGGTTTTGGATCAAACTGGAATTAGCAAATGTGAGATATCTGAAAGTGCACTGCTGCAGGGTCCTGATGCCAGTAACTAGCCCTTGCTTTCTGAAATGAAAGGAAGGCCAAATGGAAAAACAAAGTATACTACAGAAACATAAGTGCAATTTCTTGTATGAGTGTGATGCTTGTAATGCATTAGACAAGGCTTATTCTGGAAATCGGGAAATAAAACAAAGTCTAGCTGCATAGAAGGGTCCCACAGTGAAGTGCAATAAAATGCGAATCTACGTCTGCCTTGAAACATGAAGAAGAACATGAGCAGGAATACTGATGACATTTGGTTAATTCTCCCTTCGCACTTCAAATCAAAGGTCTTCTGGCTTCACAGAAACAGGTTAACAATTCTGCAGGTGGTAGGCTTCCAGATTACAAGGGACCACTATTTTCAGCTTCAGCTGAAGTTCAAAGATCAGAGGTCACAGTCCTGTGCAGAGACGCAACAGTTGCAAAGGAACAGTCTGCCTTGTTGACATAACAGTATTTTCAAAAAGTGGCTTCCTGACTTTCTCTAAGCTCTTGCAGCAAATACTGTGGCAGGTTCCTTAGCAAATAGGTTTAAATTACTGATATAGCCATTTCTTTAAAAGTTTAAAATTCAGAGAACCAGTACTGACTGAAAGTATATGACCACTGTCAGCAAACATTTGATATACATTAAACTATAGGTGTGAGATGAAGACAAGAAAACCAAATACATTCAACAGACTTGATGTATGGAAAGATTCACTTAATGTTACAATACCTTCATCACTAGACATCATCAGTCACCAGTCATCTGTTTCAGATAATAGCACAGGTATTCAGCTATATGAAACTGAGAGGGGTTCATAGCTCAGAATGTAAAGGATTGTAAACATTGTTCTGTTATCTCCTAACAGAGAAAAAGCTTGTGGGGTTTAGTATAACAATTTATAAAGTTTAGCATAATATAAGAAAATTCTGTTCTGAACCATGGAGTGCTTCCCCCATCTAAAGTTCAGAAAGGACTTTTTGAAATGGCAAATATAGGACCACAGACTCTTTTTTCTCATTTGTACTGTATGTCCAGCTGACATTAAGCAACTAAATGCAAAAATAACTCAAACCAGCATTCTTCCAGCCATGTGTGGTTCACCTTAAACATGACAGGGTGCACAACTGTCAAATTTACCAAGGTATAATTAGCTCTTTATTAGTTCTTATGTATAACCTATACATACTCTTGGTAGAAATCTTGGTAATACATTTTCCACTTTTGTACCACTCCTTTACACTTAGGGATATCAAGGGCAAACTGCTAGCATATGCAGATCTGCACATTTCCAGCACAATCCAACAGAATTTAGAAATTGTTAGAAATGTTTTTACAAATTGTTTTGAAAAATCATTATGAAAATGTCAAGCAATTTTGGGGAAATAAAATTATACCATTGGATACTGCTGCTCCAAAAACCTTTTTTGTTTTACAAAGTATGTCAGCACTTTTAAGCTGTTGGCTGTCCCTAACTCTACCTGCCATTGCTCTTTATGGCAGAAAGCATCCTTCCTGCTAAAAAACAGAATGCTTTGATATAATATTCCTTAATATAAAGCATACAATATATATTGTATGAATATAATATAATACATGTGATTCACGCAATTGCTGCGAGCGAAGTGCCATTTAGGACACTACCAATACTGAAATAGGAAACAAAGCCATATTTGATTCATAAGCATAATGAAATGTTTGCACTTACGTGAAGTAAAGAAATATTAACAATCTTTCTACTATGAGCCTTACATGCGATAGTAGCCTCACAAAACGTTTATGCAATTTTTGTTCAAATTAAATAAAATGAAAAAAAAAGAGCATAACTTATAACTTATAATGAAATCATCTACAAAACAAACAAATGTAATCTGTAAAAAAGACCAAACAGTGCTTTCTGATATTGATACAACCGAAACCCCTAAGGTTTTCAGATCATTTCAGTCTCCAAGTTAGGAAGACAGTCACAGCAGCAATGCCACACCATGTCTGGCAAAGAAAAATAAATTGAATTCTCAGGTGATGCTGAATATTTTATGAGCAAGTTTGAAAGCAGCTTACCCTGTATTGATGGAAATGATTTCTATCAGTGGGTTTTTCCTAATCTTCGGCAAATCCAATCGAGCGCCCCCCAACCGTTTTCCATTATCCTTTTTCTGACCCAACAGGCGTATGGAGTGACCTTCAAATGAAACATACAAATACTAGTCATAACATTTCACGAAAATATATTGCGGCCAGCTAATTTAGGCCCCTGAATTCCTTGAACGTCTGTGGAAAGCAGCAAAAATTGATTGTTTAGTTTGTTGATGGGCAAAAGACCAAATTCTCACTTAAGTAACCACAGATGCTTTTTTGAGGATTGAAACTGAAAATAGCAGAGATTTCTAGAAGACTTTCTTTTGTTATGCCAACATCTATCATCCTAATATTAGCTATGTTATGCTATACAGAAATATGTGAAAAATCAAGATAATCTCACATGTTATAGTGTTGAAGTGGCAGTAAAGGCATCTGATGAGCTATGAAAGGATGAGAGGAGCTTCCTCTGTTGATTTGGAGTAGTGTAAGGCTGTAACTGAAAGTGCTATGCATAAGCTTCCACAGGTGAAAGATGCACTCCTGTTCCATACAGCATTACATCATACATAAATAAACTTGAGGTCGCATAGCATCTTTGATTGTCATGAGTAAAAGATAGAAATAGTCTTGTATCAGCTGTGCTACACAAAATCATTTCTCAATACACCCTGTACAAGTACCTGATATCACCTTTGCTATCTTTGCTTTACAATATTGGTAACAGTAATATTTTCTTTATAAAATAAGACTGCCAGGAACCTTAGAGATTTGCTATAATCCTCAACTGTACAATACTCAATTTCAACTGTTCTGACAGTAAAGAGCTTAATTCTGTTCTCAATTCAATTTTGCATTCCAATTAATTTCTTTTAGCTAAAACATGTCAGACTAAAGAGACAATGTACCACTGTCTACTCTGAAATCTAATTATGGCATGACTTACAAAAAATAAAAAAATATCCTAGGCCAAATTGAACTTTTCTGTAGTAAATGTCTTTGGTAATAAATAGATTTTAAAAGGCATGTTTCAGGAACATTACAGCCACGTCTCAAGACGTCTGTTTACTTGAGCTAGCCCTTTGCTTTAATTATTCTAAAATAGAATCTAGAAGGTGACTGATAACACTTGCAGGGTTTACCCCTTTTTTCCTTATAAATTTAACAAGACATAAAGCAATTTCAGGCATAATGGGCCATTATGTAATGGCTCCTTACTTTGATATGACAACAGTCAGTCGAAACAATAACAAATGGTATAGCAATCCACGGAGATCTTTTATAAGTGGTGAACTTTTTTTCCAGCAGCTTTTTAATAAAGAACTGTGCAAGATCAATCTGATAACAAGATGGCTAATGCCCTTCATTGTGTCAAAAGTTCACATCACAGCCCAATTTTCCTGTTCACATCAGAGAAGGCATTTCATTATATTCCCCTGCTTTATGATTCAGAAGTATGTGCCACGAACTAATAACTTTTGCTAAATAATTCATACAGCCTATCTACATGCAAATAATTGGGTAAAATCTCTGGCTGAAGGTATAACAAGTCATTTTCCGATTCATTGGTTCAGTGAAAAGTCATAGATCTAAAAGCATTGTCTTTTTTAATAGAAATCTGATTTTCACTGCAGCAGAGACTGATCACACAGAGGTCCAACTAAATTTCTATAAATGTTTCATATGGCATGTGTAAGCGGAATTCTGAGAACAATTCAGCACTGTACACTGCACACCAGAGGTAGTCAGTCTTCCGCTAAGAAGACCTAAAGACCACACAAGCGTTTATGAGCTCATTCTCATTTTAACAGCATGTACTATAAGAGGAGAATGACTAAAGATTACCTCTTTACATTTCTCTCAGCAGGATTTCTCTTCTTCTTGTTGAAGTTTGCTATTTGATTTTACAATTGCAATTTCTAAATGATTATTTACATTTTCTACTCTAACTGTGAAAATTATAGAAGAAAATACTACATATTGTTAAAGGCTCCTTAACATGGATAATCACATGCACAGTTTTAGAACGCTAAACTATTTCCCAAACCAAAGAGGTCTGTTTGCAAATGACAGAGAAATATGCAAATAAATATAAAGACAATTATGATATATATGCAAATTAAATATAAAGACATCCAAGACAGGTAAAAAATATTTTAGAGTCTTCAAAGAAGTACAGACAAAAGCTGCACGTTCAACAAGGTGATTTTTAGTAAAGGGCCCTCCGTAGAATTCATCATTCTTTTCAAAGAAACATATGGAACAAGAAAACAATTGGGAAATAATCATAGGTGATAAAAAAAGAAAGCTGCCATGCCCCAGCAGACAAGTTGTTCAATTTTTGTTCAATGATGTATTAAAGGCAAAATTACCTACTTAATGGACATTAACTTACAACTCAATTAATTTCTATATAGCTTGCGTAAATTACACAGCATTGTTCATAGCCTTCTTCTTTTTTTTTAAAGTGACTCTTTACAGCTTAATTATTTTCTTAAAATGTTTCTATAAATTGTGTAATAAAGTTAAATAGACAAATACTCAATGTGTATCTGCTTGAAATTCATAAAATACACTAAACTGATTACTAATTAAAGGTATTATTAGGGGAAAAAATGAAAATGTTCTGTCTCTATAATAAATTAAAAAAATACAATTTCAAGAACAATTAGATACAAGAAAATCTGTATTGCTTCCTTACAGGTTAAACACCACTTGGACATTTGATTGTTAATACAGTGCACTTATTGTACTGTAAATGCCTATTGTGTACCATGTTATACTGCAAATAATTATGCCCCATTCTCAATGCGTAAGCTTTGCAAATTCAAGAAAAAGGTAACTTTGTGTAAACTGATTTAAAAATTTGAGATTACCAAGAAGGACCAGTATTTTCCCTTTTTTGTACAAGGCACAGCATTGTAGCACTCCTATGCATCCTCTACAAATGGGTTCTCTATTGATTCAGGTTCTCCAGAGACCAGTCTTATTGAGTCACCTACACCTCAGCATGAGCACCACAGGATAAATCTGGTGATTCAATACAATTACCATCTGCTGAACTTCAAGAATTTAATAGGACAAATTCAAGAGAGAGCTGGAATTGTATATGTCACCAGGTTTTACAAAAACAAACTGCCTTAGCTCTAGCAAATTAACCTTTAGATTATACAGTACAGCTATCATTTCTTGCTCTTTGACAGTTTACTTCACCTGATCCTTTACCGTTTTTGAATGACTATCAGTCTCTCAATTCTACATGATAAAGTCTCCTTCCTGAAGAGAGAGAGACTTTGTGTTTCCACAGATCATCTTCTGAACAGGAAAGCTGATCATTATTTGTCCTAGGGAGGTGACATGCTGTAGATATGGTCAAATTAAAACTATCCCAAATAACTGTCTTTGAACGTGAGCAAGTAAAAAATTATTTTGGGAATAAAAATCTTTTTACAAATAAGGCATAATGTTCAAGGAAGTGTGAGTAGGCATGGAATACCTAAAGCCTACTTAAACACATCTTTGAAAAGAGTCAGGATTTTGTAATTTAGGTTTTGCAATATTGAAGTTATTTTATACTAAATTTCCTTTGTGTGACCTATTTCATTACTATTTTTATGAATTTATGGAGAACTTAGATACTGAAGTGACATTCATTGATTTTAATTTTCATACATTAATTAATGCCCATCAAGAACCAAGCTGTAAGCATAAAATTATTTCATTATGATAAGAACCAGATTCAGCAGAAATTACAATAACCAACCACCCAAGGGATGGCCATAATTTCAGTCATGTTCATAATCTTTATATACTACATACTTGCTATTCAGATAAAAAGTTAGAATGAATGAATGAGCTTGAATCTAGTGTAACCTTGCATTTTCTGTAATTTTGTTTCACTCATTATAAACATTATAAACTAAAGCACATCATCTCAGCTTTCATTGCAGAGTAATTGTTCTCCTTTCTGTTAATTGTAGTGCAAAGTGCATTATTCCTAAATATTATCAAAAGAATGAAGCAAACCTTGTTTTTTCCAAGTACACTTATTTTCTGTTTTGAAAATGATATCTTTCCTTTCAGACATTTGTACCTGAAAATATTTATGGTGAGTGAAAAACACATCGAGGAGCCATCAAGGCAAGATTAATCATTATTTGAGTTTTTTAGATATTGAATGACTGAAGTTCTTTTGAATCTCTATATTTTTTTACAAAGTGAAGTGCAAAGTGTATGCAAAATCTCAATTATTGTATAGAGACACTCAAACGCACTGTACTAGAAGAAAACTCTGCAAAATTGTAGACTCAAACTGTCACATATCTAAAAAAGGATTATTCTGCCACTCATTATGTGCTGATAAATACCATTTGCTCTAGATTGGTTCTCTGACATAAAATCCATCGCAACCATTACTATGTCAGTATTTGTGCTCCCCAAAAAGCCTATCCTAAGTGAAGACAGTGTCCAAGTAATTACATTATATTTTTGCGACAAAGATCTAATGCACTGTATATTAAAGCATTACTTTAAGTTAACAAAAGTGTTTATAGTACACTTCTATTACTATTTTGTCTGTTCCAAACAAACTCAAAGTCCTTTAAACCCACACCCTTTTCGATAAATCTAAGATTTCAACTATATTTTAAACATTTTTGACACTGCTTTGTGAAATTATCTTATAGAAACATACTTTTGCCCTTATCTATACAATTGGATCCCCCATTCCCATTTTTGGCCATGAGTTTGTCTACTAGTTCTGAAATTAGTCTAATAATACACAGTATTATATTAGATATTAGATAATATATAGTAGCCCTATTTATTAAGAAAAGTGTCATTTTTAAACACTATACTACAAAACGGACAAGAAACAATGCCAGCATAAACCACATGGGTCCCTATCGTTTGTAATATTCTTAAACAGTGGCATAAAAGGAAATAAATTGTGAAATCTAACACATATGCAGCATTTATGTTAAGACTTAGCTTGCCATGTAATCCAAAACCTGGATATACGTCCAGCTTCTGCAATCCTGAACTGGAAGTCAAGGACTGTGCAAGAGACTATTAGACCTGATGCACAACCATAATCAGGTTACTCCACTGTGGCAAAGGCAGAAGAAAAGGTAGAGTCTCAGCCAGCATAATATGGCATGTAAAATATGGGACTTCAGATTATAGTTCCAACATGACACAAAGGCAAAGACCAAAGTCCAGTCATATACACATACACTGCCTGAAAGAAAAAGCGGTGGAGTCCTAAGAATAGGGAAAAAGATGCTGGACAATCATTATACCATTATTGCCTAGAAAAAGCATAATGCATCCTGACCAAAACCTTGATAATATGAGGAATAAATATGACCCCAGTTTAAAATATGGTTAGTTATTGTGGAAACTAGATGTTAGGCACATTATCCGTCCTGTGGTTTCCTACGCATCGGAGACATGGGTGCTGACAAAGCGAGATGTGGAACTCCTTAATACGTGGGAGAGAAAGATCCTCGGAAAGATCTATGGGCCAGTTCAGGAAGGAGGAGAGTGGCGAACAAGAACCAACATCAAGCTTTACGAGCTGTATGAGGATCCCCCAATAACTGCGGAGGTAAGAGCGGCACAGCTGTGCTGGCTTGGACATCTAGAACAGACAGACATTTCCAGAGGGGTACGGAGAGTCTTCCGTTAAAAGCCGGAAGAAAGGCGCCTTCAAGGCCGTCCCCGCAAAAGATGGATGGACGATGTTGAAGAAGACTTCAGAAAGTTGAGAGTGAGAGGATGGCGAAGACTGGCTCAGGACCGAGAGGAGCGTGGAGGAGGGTGGTGGAGGAGAGCAGGGCTCTACAAGGGTTGTAGTGCCATGGGGTTAGGTTAGGTTTCAGCAAATTTAACAGTAGAGTAAAAAAAAGTTTTTCAATTGTAAATGCGCTTTAATAACTACTATTAATATGTACTAATATAAAGGGCTACACTTTCCAATATCCACTGAAACCTTTAACGTGCCACAAAACTCATGGTGCTATAACCTACAGTATACAGCAAACATCATTCTAAAATGGTTTAGCTAAGACTTTCTGGAAAGGTAAGACTATACAGAAGGATTACTGTTTTAACACCTAAGAGAATGATAAATTATTTTATGATTCCTAGTAATGTTTAGCACTCACTTGTCTCTTATCTAGTGCACTTTTTACTTGAGCATGGGAGCTTCAAATAGGAAAGCTGTTTGTGCTACAGTTTGTGTGTTGATTTTAATAGAACTGGGTTCTTTGCATTAAATAATACTACACCAAGTTAAATGATCAGTTTGATATAGTGCTGGAGCATTTGTTCTACCGCGACAGCAACAAAACCGTATGTGGTATGAGAATTAACAAGAGAGCGGACGTTAGTTGTTTTTCCTAAATAACATACAGTAAAAAGGAAAGATGCCAAGGTGAGTAAACATGACCTTTTTTTCCTCAAGTAATAACAATGCATTGCAAGGGAACACCAGTTGGGCTGATAGTAGTAACATAGGCTTCATGAACCATTACTCTAGTATTCTTGTCTGCCAGTACTGTGCTCAAGGGCTTGAGCATGTTTTCACTGTGCCTGAAGAAAGGTATTCATACATCTTAGTCATTTTGTTTTTCTTTCTATATTCAATTTGACCATTCTAAAGCCAATGCATGTCCTTCCCTTTTATTTTTTTACTTTCATTGCCCTTCACTGTTGGGTGCATGTGCTTCTGTGTCTGCATTTTACTTGTCTCTTTCATGGTGTAACAGTTTGATAAACTTCATGGGGATTCCAATTGGTAACCCACAGGAACATACTGGTGCCTGCAAGTGTTTTATGAGAATAGAAACAGTGGGAGGCACAATGCCAGGTCACCTCAGAAATATGATTAGAAAAGAAGAAGAACTAGAAAAAAATATCGGCCTTCAAATGGAGAACAAGGTTGTTCGAAAGGAAACCCTATCATTTTCTACCTCTGCCAGCAAGACTACTCTTCTTAAGCTGCAGTCTTGGGTAATTAACCACAACCCAAATAAAGAAGAAATCTTCCCATGCAGTTGCTCTTTTGAAACACTACACATACTATGCAGACAAATAAGAGTACAGCACTGTTAAGCTACCATGAAAATACACTGACTAGATAATGCAACAAAACACTATAGTCACTTCAGGGCAAGTGTTCATTGATTTGTAATAAATTTATGGAGGACACAACCTAAGATTCTCCTGCTTACCAAACGAATCAACTTTTCTAAACCTTAATCTCTAGGTACTAGTTTTAATATAAAATAGTGGACAGATACCTTTTTATTGATGCAATAAAAAATAGTAATGGTGCATAAAAAATGCTTTCTGCAAATAAAAAAAAACAGATTATTCATTTTTAGCTCTTGAACAAAGTTTCTTCCATGTTCTACCCTGCTTCAATTTCCCCTAAAAAAGCCCCAAGGTCAAAACTGATATACACACTGACTAAAGCCTCAGGTGGTCATTAATCTTCTCCTCCCCTGACAAATTTTCTTAGATCAGTCAACGTCTGATATAGTTTTCATGGTCTTAGAAATTTTGCTTGTGTTTGTGCCAGATTTAACTCTTTCAGTGTTACAGATCATTTTGCTGTTTTTTTATTTGTCCTGAGGTTAAATGGTATGTGTGAGCCGGGGGGAGGGCTGTGGGAGGAGGAGCAGAAAAACTGCATAAAAATACCTCAGATTAATTATAATGTCAACATCGTATTATTGATGTAAAATGAAATACCGTATCTAAATAAAATAAAGGAAAGCAGGATTCTGTTGTCATAAACTGAAACCATAAAAAGACTTATGTCTTTTTGGGCATAAAGATATTAGTTATAATCTGTAATGTCAAATTTGTCTTGCATCTGTTCAAACCCAAAATCTTGTACACAGTAATAAGAACATTAGAACGGTTCCAAATGAAAGGAGGTCATTTAGTCCAGCTAGCCTGTTTCGCAATTGGGAGCTAATTGATCCAAGGATCTCATCCAGCCGTTTCTTGAAAGAAACCAGGTTTCGGCTTCAACAACATGGCTGGGTAGCTTGTTCCATATTCCCAAAACCTTTTGTGAAACAAATGGCTTACTGTTCTCCGTTTTAAATGCACTTCTAAATAGTTTCCACTTGTGCCCTGGTTTGTGTTTCACTGTTCATGCTGAAGACTTCCGCTGGGCTGACTTGTTTAATTTATCCTAATTTAGATTAATAAAAGACAAGATCCTCTCGAGATTGTTCTGCTGTTGTGCTATCAAAATCAACAGTCATAGAGTCAATCTTTATGGTGTACTAACAATTACTTTTATGGTCAATTACTTCCTTCATAATGAATGGATTTTGTGTTTTAGAATATGGATAAAGAGTGCTCATGAAAGTGACTGTTAAAAACTGAAAAATGTCAGAGTTTCTAACATGAAATAAAGTAATGGAATCAAAGGCCAAATGTTTCTTACAGGTTGTTAACTCCAGGAGGCAAAAAAAGGATTTAAATCTGGAAAACCTTTACCAAAATAACTATCAGAGATGAAAAAATATTAACAATCAATGAAGTATTTATAATTCCCTATGCATGCTGGATTAACATAACATTTAATTGAATTATCTTATAAAAATATACTAACAAATCTACATAAATTGTAAATGCATAATTCTTTTCAATTGCAATCACTGAATCAAATACATACACTTATCTTTTCTGAAATTGAATTTTTAATTTTACTTACAATGGATTAAGACTCAGATTAGCTATCAACAATTACTTAGAATATAGTAGAAAACAATCATAGAATGAACAGGTAAAAACTATTATAAAGGGTATAAAATTAAAACTTGAAACCAGGGATTCTTAGATCACACAACGTGTGTTGAGATCACTTTGCTATCGTTTGAAAACAACAGCTATATGTACAAAAATGTGCACATGTGAATGTGTTTGAACGTGAAAGATAATTCAACTATATCATTACACCACACACAAAACAAAGCAGACACAAAAATCCTGGTACTGTATGAAGTAGCTTGGCCATACAAATCATGAAGGGCCTCGTGCATTCAGTCAGAATGTTGATATGTCTTCTTTCAGAATTTAAGTAGTGAGAGAAAATTGGATTGCTATGTGTAAACTTTGTAATATCAGCAGTCAGGAGATAAGGAAAGAAACAGTAAAAATGAATTTGAAATTATTTGCAGAAGGCAGCCATAGAACAAATAGCAATGGACAACACTATTCGAGCTCACCTTTAATAGTCTCGTCCACAACCTCCACCACACGATCGATCTGCTGCACCTGAAACAGACAACACTTATCAATAAAATCAAATTCCCAATCTATCTCGATGCACTTTTTAAAAAGACACTACATGCTGATCAGAGCAACCCTGGATGGGCCACATCAAGATTTTCAATAATCAATCTCATGTCCACTGCAGACACACATTTTTATCACACACCACCCCCACTACCATTCAGCAGTAAGCAAGGTCAGTTGTTTGACATAAAATTCTGCTGTAAGACAACAGACATTCTTTCGATTCTTACACTTGCTTTCTTATACAAAACAAATGCAGGTATGTGGCCTTGTTGGTACCGAGCAGTAAACAGAAGCAAAAGAAAAAAAGAAAAAATCATTTCAGGGGATAAATCTGCAAAAGCTGCAGCTGCTACAGACTATTATAACTATGACTACTACAGCCATAATTATAATAATATAAACCTAAACTGATCCTTTCACTCCCTCACTGATTAGATTGGTATTCGACTGACATGTGATAATCACCTTGCGCAATTTCGAATTTAGTTTTGTCAATGTGTATATATATGTTAGTTGGTATTTTAGTTTCATTCATGAAAGATTCTAAATATTTAAGCAATGTTTGTTGTGTTTGAGCTACTGTGACACCAATATTAAGAATTCAAAGTTTCTTTTCATTTATCTTTTTCTCTCTTCTCCTGCTTTCTTTCTTTTTTCATATTTTTTCTCATATTTTTTGGGTTCAGGCTGAACCGTGTAGTTAAACAAACACAGGTTTTATCCATTGTGGAAACAAAAGGCCTTTGAAGCAAACATCACATGGACATGGTCAAGTACAGGCAAGTATATACCTGGTTATACGGTTCCATTCCCTTTTAATGTTTGTTCAGTTTGTGTGGAGGTCTGAGGGGGTAGCAAGATTTACCCATCATTATTTCTGTTATATTTCTTCAGGTTGTTAGGCACAAAGTGAATCAGCTGAAATTACCAAGGCTGGTGTGATAGTGTAACATGGTGTCAAACAGGAGAAGGCATCAGAGATGCAGAAGGTATCTGCGTAACCAGGCCTTCAGGATATGTCAGGGTCACATAACAACAATCACCTCCAATGACTTGAGCTAACACTGAGTTTGACTGAAGAGAGGTAAGCTATTCCACCAGATGTCCTGTCATTGCCAAGAATACGTCAATGCTAGAAGAGTGCAAGGAAGTTACTAAAGACAGTTACTAAATATATTGCTCGCTTGTGAGACTCTGGCTTCCTCGCAACCCTTAAATTAAAGAAAAAGTTAGGAATAGTTATGGATGGATAATAGCATCTGTTTAAAATTTGGAGAACTTGTACTTAATATCTAATAGACAGGATTCTATTACTAAAATAATTGTAGAACATTATCATCTCATTCAATCCTCTCATAGTGCACTTCATAGTACAACATAAAAGTTTGCACTGTATTAATTATCCCCTTTCAGTTCAAATGAAGAATATGTAGCATATCAAAGTTAAGAAAATTTGCCAAAATGTGGTAATGTAGATTTCTGGCCCCAAAACAAAGACTCATAGAAAAGAAGGGAAGTGCTTTGAACTAACCTGTTATATTGGTTAAGGAACAATAAAATAATGTAATCCAGTGTTATATAGTTTATTTTTGTTTATACATTTTACTTGCATTCCATCTTACTCCCACTAAACTAGTATCCTTTTTAATAGTCTACATTCTGTCAGAAAGCTGCATGCTGCTTTAGGTATCTCAATAAACTAAGACAAAAGTGCCATGAGAATATCTGTATAAGGCCATGTTTGGCTCTTTTACAAAGAGAATTCAAAAGAGGACAATACACTGTACAGGACAGAGGTTTGTATGGTAAGTGAGTTACCACAATACCAAGAAAGCAGATAAAATAGCAATCATATATCAAAACTTCCTCCACACAAGAAAAGGCATACCGCACAAATACAAGCAAGACATATTAATGTCTTAGCTTATGCGGCATGAACATCAATCTAGACACAGAAAACCTGTGAGTTTGGAAAAAAGGGAAAAGCATTGATGTGAAGATGCTAAACAGCCGAAAACAAGACCCTGATTTTTCAAAGAACCTTTTCAAATTACTTAATATCTAAATGTCACTAAATCTCAAGGATGTAGCATATTTTTCAGATTTTTTAAAACAAAATGTTATGTACAAGTAGTGGATCTCTCTTGCGTGTTCTTAAAAGTAAGTTACTCGGTCATGCTGTGTGTGCCAATTTATTCTGGATCATACAAAGTGCACTTCAGGTAAAAGTGTAGTAACTGTGTGACTGTATTATTGTACTACTTGTTTATATATTCAGTCTGTCAATAATGTAACTAATTACAATTTTGTTTTGGCTGGAAATGCACAGTACACTCTACTTTGGAAAGTCATACTATATTTAGAGAACACAATGGAGTTGAATTCCACAACTCTAGCATGTACTGTACCATGGGAAGCAGCAATGTGAAACAACTGCTGTTTTTTACTTGTTTTATTAATCAACTAAAAACACTAGTGAAAATAGTGAAAGCTTTTATTTAGTTTATTTATTTTATTTAGTACTTACTTCTTACAACAGAGGAGCATGCTCATAGGTCCTGACTGGTTTAAAGACTGTGTTTATACTATAATTAAACACAAATGATGGTAAAACCATTACTCTATTTTGTTTGGAACTTTTGTCATACTGTGAGAATGGTCATGTCTGAAAGTTATGATTCCCTTGCAGTTTTCTTTCATTGGACCTCAACGCTTACAGTTCATTCATTAATGTATTTTAAAATATTTTAATGCTTCACATATTTTAAGCATGTCTCACTTCAATATAAACCATAAAAATCCCTGTTCATTCACATATACATGAACTGTATAAATAATTGCATATAAGTATATACATGTAACATAAGAAATTGATATTTAAGGACATAAATATTTTCCTTTTTTCTGTGTATTATACACAACCCATAATGTCTTCCTGGACCTTAATAATCTTTCTCAACTCATTTTCTGTTCTTTGCAAAAAATGTGCCTTTTTTAAAATCTGGAACAAACACAATAAATATAATATATAACAGCAATATACACAAACAGGAAAACCTCATATCAAAATAATATAACACTTATCAGGGGATCAGTGGTACTTTGCTGTCCCTCTCTTCTATGTGTGGTCCTCCTATGTCAGTGACATTATCCACATTCTACAATTAATGAACACCACATGGTTTCAGTTTTCCTTACCACACACTGTAGTTAAGTTAGCATCCTGTCCTGCATGCTGTTTGTGTGTTAGGAATCTGCCCTGGAATAGGATGATAATGTCACATACATTATTTTCAGTAGTTTGAGGCCTTTTGCAGGCCCTCTGAACTGCAGGTAAGATCAGTTTGTCACTCATAAGCATACCTCCTCTAATTATCCTGCATTTTTACATGGCAACTGTCCAAATTCATTTAGATAAGATTGAGATTACAATTTCAAATGAACACTTAAAACATATACAGTATGGATAGTTAAAAATTCAAGTTTCAGCTCAAAAACAACAATTGCTAGTTCATGTATTCTTAAGACAAGAAGTTAAAGAGCATAAAAACAGTTTTGAAAGATTTGGCTTTGGCTGGCCTGCAATTTTAACAGAATCAAATTTAAGTGATCATGCTGAGGCTTTTTAACAAGTAATGCCTTGGGATGAAGTACAAAATACTCAGTACCAGTGTGTTTTAACAACCTACTGTTTATAGTGGACAGAAATTGCGGTCCCATTAGAGACAAAATTGATTTTATTTCAGAACACAGCCTGCATAGAATAATAGGCAGGAGAACCTTCACCCAGCACACACAGGTCTTTGGGGTTTAGCTGCATGATGTCAACAGTGGAAGTATACTTTTGTGCTATAAAGAAGCTGTGGGCAGAAGGCTGATTCCTGCTGGTCCAGCTATTTAACTCTGGGGGGGCAGAACACAACTAACATATATTTCCTTCAATAGATCAGACTTAACAGTCTCTTTTGCCCAGTCCAGAGATCAAAGATCAAGTGAAACGTATCCTAACTTGCATATGAGCCAAATCATACCTAATTTTCCTGATGTTTACTGCAAAATTTCTTCCCCCCCCTCTGAGCAATCTCAGCTGCACAAATACTAGGCACACATTAGCACTTTACTATATTTGTACTGCCCATATATTCTCCAAAGCTTATATCTCTTATGCTCTGCTGTCAAATTTATCCTGCAACCCTTCACCAGAGGCAAGTTCAAGTGAAAAGAGAAGCCAACCATCATTTACATAACCTTGCTATTCTGTCTTAAGTAACTTTCTCCTGGCTATATGTGAAGGATTGCTACTTCATTTCATTTCAGTTTATTATAATGGTGGGGCACATCATTTAATACCGCCTGATTGTCCCTTCTACTCCTGTGAAGTGCAATTTAGAGGAATGTCTCTGAGTTTATTTTCTTAATGTTGGGGATTTTGGATGTAATTATTAGTTTCTTTCGCTAATAGAGCAAATTTGCATTGGGCTTGCATGATCTGTAATGACAATATATATTGTAGTTCATTTAAAATTGTACTTATTCCTATAAACATATTCCTTTTTTAAAGGACAAATGTAGACTATTTGAGTTCACCTTACAGCAATAAATATTTCTGCACTAAACAATTTAGAAACTAAAAAAATGAAGAAGAGCAAAAGGACATGCCATGATCGGTTACAAATTATTTAGAAAGATACATGTTCAATCATTCTTTTAAAAAAATACACTTTAAATATAAATGAGTAAGAATGCATGTCCTGTGTGGAAGAATTAAAACTGAAATTGACAGTACTTTCAAGGGCCCATGTCTGTGTGCATGTATTAATGGTGTGTCAATCTGCTGCCAATCCATACTGCCACAAATGAGGCACTACTCTCAGAAGCCACAGACAGCAGGACAAAGTCAGCATGAAGCCACTGCCATTTGGAATTTTCAGTGTTCCTAAAGCTAACCTGCTGGGGAGAGAGATGAGCATCCAGTGCTCTGTACTTTCTATCATCCCTGTAATCCAACAGCTTTTGAATCAATAAGGTTTTCAGGGAAGTTATACTTAACTATCTACAGACCACCTTTTAGCTTAATTTAAAAGCAAGCAAAGGAGCCTGCTGGGCACCATTTCTTTCAGCCTGAACATTAGCTTACTCACCCTTAGCCTTAGCCAATATGAGACTTTTTGAGCATATAAGCACTGGTAAAAGTGAGAAGCACTAAGCTTTTTTAGCTCTAGAATTACATCAGAAAAATCCAGGGAGCTCACTTACTTTAAATTGAACCAAAAAAATTAGAGGCTTTGACTGTACTATGTTCTGAATAGCTCAATTGGTTGACATGCTTGCAAAAGGAAATGAAAGAATAGCATCCTTGCCAAAGTTTTAATATTTCTAGACAATATTATTCTTTGATGCTGTACATTTTTAGCAAATTTGTAATTTCTGTGTAGACTGTACTGGGAAACCAGAATTAATATCACCTACCTGGACAAGAATGTTTGGTTCATTTTGGGTTTACATGTAACAGACACCCTAATGAGCCATCACAGGTTTCTGATACTTTGGACACAACGTCATTATAAGAAAATAAATATGAACTTGTGAATTTACTATCACATACTGGACAGGTTAATTACATTTCTTCAGGATAACTTCATAGAAGCTTGGAGTTTGTAAATCATGTAATGGATAAGTCTTCTATGTACAGTATGGTACAAATAAAATAAAGTGAGTGCCAAATGAAAATGCATTAAAGACATACGTTTTAAAGGTTTATAAATGCACTGTGGTAACAGAACTAATGGATTTTTTAAACAAATTTTGGGGATAATTTACAAAGGGATACATCTATAATGCTATAATGTTAAATGTTTTAAGTTTTATTTTTAGAATTAGTATGCAGCCGGACATGTACACCCAAACCACATATTAACCAAAGTAAATTTTTGTGACTGATGAGTCATGGTGAGAAAAATACATATTTTTATCTTTTTATAGTTAAATCAAGAAAAACATCTATTAAAATTGGATCTACTGTAATGTGATAGTTCATAGTCGATGTATACTATACATGTACATTATACTGATTTAACCAATTTACAATTGTCCTCCCTCTCAGTCTAAAATGTTTTAAAATTATTGAAAATGATTTGCATTGTGAAAGGCCAAAGACTGCACCAGTAACAAAGGATCTCCAGAATGTGCTGCCAGTCAGCAACAGCACTCTTAAGGAGAGATTCCGAGACAAAGAATACAGAACATGCACAAAACAGACTGCACATGCTGTTTTGTCTTGCATGTAAGGACAATATTTTGGACAGTAACAGCCAGCACAGTCTTATTAAACTAGGGATTGCCACCATTTTTGCAAGGACCTTGCTATATTTGAAGTAGTTGCCCATGGAATGTTCCATACGTTTTTAAAATCCTGGGAAGTATATGAAATTTACTGTTCTAATTTTATTTTTTAATTCAAGGTTTCCAGCTAATAAAGTGAGTGAATGTATATTTGGGAAAATGTAATTTTTTTAAGGAAGCCAGTTACCTAGTGTAACTTTTTCAGTTAGTTAAATCTAAAGTGTAACATTTACAGTAATAGTGTATTTTGCCACAAGTCAGATGTATATCTTAACAAAAAAGATATCTAATCAAAAACATGCTTACCATGCATCTAATGTTGTCTAACGTTACCGGCCTAACAATTATTATGTTTCCAGGTCTGAAACATTTACATATAGAGACTAATGTTGAAGAGCACTAATGATAAAAAACAAATCAGGCACCTCCCTAGGAGATATGTAACACACAAATGAGATGCACTAAATGATTCTAAATTTGCTGCTTCTCAGCTAAAACAAAAGAATAATGAAGCCACGTGGTTTTCATAATTTCACTTGTGGAAAATATCAGGTGTCTCTGTGTCTCAGACGTAGGGGAGCACAAAGAAATGCAAAAAAGCAAACCCTATGAAATCTTTTTAGCTTTCTATTTTCATGTATTGCTGATATATATAACTATATACTTTACAATACAAAAGCTATTGCATAAGTAAAACAATAGATACAGTATAATGTGATATATATATACAGAAGCTATAAATTATGTTTTCCACATCATAAAACAACTGAAATGCTGCAAAGAAGAGCACACAAAAAAGGTTAATAAAAGAAGATTTGGTCAAGGAAGATGTTAAAGCCTATTTTTATAAGAGATTAAACAAATAGGGGATATATATTCATAGTTAAATGTCAATTTCACATACAAATCATCCCAATGCTTACATAGCCTGTAATATGTTTATATAGTTCATGTATGTACAAATGAAGAAGAAATATGATATGCACTAGTTACACTAATGTGAATGAAACTTAGAATATTCCATGTAAACATCCAATAAATGAATGAAGACCAAGTAAACACTGAGTTAATGTGAAAACTGTATGCACCCAAAAATGAACATTCTCTTTTAAAGATGTTCTACAATGTTTTGAAATTCAAGTAGTCGTGATCTTTTTTTCTGAAAGAGCAAGTATTACTAAATGATAGTACAGAAATAAAGCCATCATAAATATTTATTAATTTTAACAATGACTTTCGCTGCTTTGTGCACCAGGAGGGGAATGTGTCTCGTAGAACAAGAAGATTGCCTGGTCCTCTCACTCCATCATGCTATCGTACATTAATGGGATGGTATTACAAAATGCACTCTGCTCTCTATGCTATACACAGTCCACAAACAGCATGATATTGCTCCATATATATATATAATATGCATCTTCCTGTCAATCTCTAATAACAATCTGTTTTGTTTTAATTCCCTTTGTTTAGTTTGAAATCTGTGAAAATCAGCAGATTTGATTTCTCCTGCACTAAAACAATACATATAATTTTATGTAGTGAAAAAATTGTTCATCTGTTTTGATGGGTGAATTCAATCCATTTGTATTCCAAGACAAAATGTTAGAATCTATCAATTACAGACAATGAACAGTAGTGAAGCAAAGCCTGTCCACAGGAAACAAAGCACATGGAAATGTAAACAGATTAGCCAGAACTAGAAGAAAAAGAAGTAAACATTTTCCATCATTAATATTGAACATACAAATGGTTCTAAATTTTTTCTAGTGGAAGACGGAAGAGGGTCACACAGTGGCGCAGTGGTTGGCATTTCTACCTCAAAGCTCTGGGTCCCTGAGTTCAGTTCTGGTCCAGGGGTGCTGCATGGTCAAATTTGCATGGAGCTTGCATGTTCTCTCCCATATTCACCTATGTCCCTTTCAGTATGTCTTTCTCCCACAGTTCAAAGACATACTGGTAGGTTAACTGATCTTTCGGAATGCTGGGTCTGGTGTGAACATGTGCGTGTCTGTGTCTGTGTCTGCCCTGTGATAGACTGGCGCCCCACCCAAGGTATAGCCCGCCTTCTCCCCATTATTTGCTGGGATAGGCTCTGGCCCCCCAATGTCCTTGAGTTGAATGAAGTGGTTAGAAATTGGATAGATGGAAGAGAAAAGGGATAAATGATATATAACTGAACTATTGAACTGTAACTGTGGGCTCACGATGTTTAAACAATAAGTACAGGTCAGATCTAATGAACAAACAATAGACAAGAGCTGGGAGCATGGAAGGCTCCGTGACAGTCAAAACGACTGTACAAAATTGATAAAATAGCAGCTTCCAAGGTTGCAAACCAAGATGTAAAACACACCCACAAATAAAAATAAAGTGCACAGGGTTCCATTGTAATGACAGTACACAATACAGAGTCACCCCAAAGAAATAAATCACCCTCTCAGAAAGAAAAGATGAGCATACAACATGTAGTGAAAAAACAATTTTAAAAGATCTAAGCATACACTGGACAACATTACAGTGCACAGTAAGAAAATAAATGTTGGCACAGCCAGAAAAATAGCAGAGGGGGGGATCGAACTCCAGTATCTAAGAATAAAGTATCTGGAGCAGTATATTAAGTATGCACTCCTTCTCTGCAGCTCCAAGACTAATCTGTCTACTGCTGTGTCAAACAACTTGGAAGTGCTAGTGGGAATAACTTTCATCTAAACCAGAGAAAGTAGATCTGCGCCACATTTCTGAAATGCATCTATGGCAGATAACAAGGATCCCAAACCAGTCTAACCTCTGGTCTTCCGACATGTCATGGTATGTTCATAGGGCTCAGAGAAATTCTGTAACCATTATGAAAATGAAGGTTACAATATTGCCCATCTTCACAAGATAATTTGTCAATGACCAGTTAAATTTTTATCAAGTGTAAATAAAAGCATTTTATTTTAAAATCCTTTGAATTACATTAGAATTTCAGTCAGACTCAGTACATTTCTTGTAGAACACTTTTCCCCCTGATCACTGCTGCAAATTGAAAAATGGGCGTTGTGTTTACATTCTAATTCAAGATACTTTTGCTTGGACCAGTTACGATTCATTGGGTGAGACATATGAAAGTACTATAGCAGATCCATTTGGGGCTTGTCCATGTAGATTTCAAAGTCAGAGGAAACATCTCTAATCCAGATTTTCCAACGAAAGTGTAAAAGGTACACTAGTGGAAATAAGACTTACAAAACCATGATGAGGAAAATGAACTTACCCCAATAACACTCAGGCCTTTGAGGTATTCCATTCTGGGCTGAGCCTGAGGAACGCATCCTGCAACCACCACCTTTTTATTTTGTTCTTTAGCTTTCCTAAGAACAAATTTGAAAAAAAAAAGATTGTATTAATACTGTTTACATTCCAGTATCAATTTTCAGCATACACAATTACCAGAGTTCTTGAACTTCCCAGAAGGTCTTGAGACTACAGGCCTCAAGGAAATGTTATGTAAAAAAAATCCATTCACACATTTTCTAAAGCACTTTATGCCATACAGGGTCTACAAACAGTAAAAGGAGGGGCTACAAGGATATATAATTTCTTTATGACTTTAAAATGTACTGTAGGATTTTACATTATCTTCCATTCCTCCCTGTCTTGATATTTATAGTAATCGTTTATTTAATCGTTGAAGTCACTTGAAAACAGATTCTCATTTACTATGATGACCTGACCAAGATGGTTATATCAGTGTTACCAATAAGACAAAGAAAAGATAAATCAATTAAAAATAACAGAGCAATCGGAGCACTTAGACGTAATACTGCTAATCTGCATGCATGTGTCAGGCAGAAAAGATCTAATCATAGAACTGAAAACACCCTCAGGTACACAGGACATTTTAAGCTGTACATTGGCGGCAACAAATTGAAATGATATAGCATTCTAATTACGTAGTTGCTCTTGCGAGAAACAGCTCCATAAAGTTACAACTTTAACTATAGTATGATACACAAAAATACAATTGTTGTTAAGATAGGATGGGAAAACGTTCCCAATAAAGATATGTTAATTAATTTAAAACATTGAAACATTTGACTAGTATTGAAAGACAGTGAATTACAGAATAAAGGGCAGGATGATGAGTGAGATAGCAGACATTATAGAGATAGAGATAACTATTATGTCAGAACAGTCAAGTTCCCGAAGAGCAGTTCAGAGGTCATGTGAACACAACACATGGTACTTAAGTGTTCACAGAACCTAGAACATCATTCCAAAGAGCTGCTTAAAGAATGAGAGCAGACACCTAGGACAAAGTAAAAATCTACCTCACCAAAATTGCTTTTCTGCATCTAAGGTTAAGGAATGGAAGTAAAATGGAAACAAGATCCTCTCTGGTGAAAACATTACATCAGGAAGGTTGTGTGAGAAGAATTGTGTAAGTGTTTTCAAAAAACACTTTGCCTTATAGCAGCCTTTCAGACAACAGGCAGTTTCATCATATAGTAGGTAGATTTTATGTCCTTTTTTTCAATTTTTCAAAAAAAAAAATTAAGAGAGCTACTAAATGTTACAGAAAAGGCAAGTATTCATAGCAGACATATGTAAGCCTTTTCTGGAATGTTTCTCTGGTAAAAGGTCTGCTCCATGCCAGGAATGAATACAACGCACCACTTTCCAGAGAAGAATCCCAACAGAATCTAGACTGGCTCTCTAACTTTCTACAAACGAGTGCAACAACTGTAAATGTGCACCCATTTCCCAGTCTTTAAGCAGTGTTAACTTCTATTAAACTTAATAAGATTGTCATACATTTTCTTCAGTGGATGAAATAGCTTTTCAGGCTCTGCAATCCATAAATGCAATAAAAGGGAATGAGGGACCGAAACATTTAGCCTTTCAGGGTTTTTTTATGAAAAGGATGTTGAGAGACAAAACATTGAAAGGGGAAGATGTAGTCCTATGATTTTTTATTTTTAAAAATGCATAATTCAATGTGAAATAACAAAAGGAGAAGAAAAGCTTTCATCCAAGGAAAATATGCACGCTTCTAACAAGTGTCACTTCTGGAATCTGTCTTTATTAAAATCATCTCCCCATTTTAAAGCTTTCTTCTTTTAATGAAATCAACCCTGCCTTGAACCTTCTTTTTCTGAATTGAAGCTCCGTACATTTTATAAAAAGAAATACAATTTTTTTCATTCCATAAATTAATTTTCCGGGCAGAAGACTGAATAGCAATTTAATTAGGCAGAAGGCATTGTGCATGCATTTTATTTCCTTTTTTTAAAGAATGGTGTTTAGAATAAATAAAGCCACACAAAATGAAGGGCTTTTAAATCACATCAACACAAATCCTCAGGATGATCAGCTATGCCACATTAGACCAAAGAAATATCAGCTGAGGAAATTAAGTAGAAAAAAGCTTTTCTTTTTCCTTAACTTAATGAGATTCTAGCTTTTCCATTTTTACCCAAGACTAGGAAGTCATGCAGCCTCACAGCAAGTGAATGCAGTTCGAAAGTGTCTCAAACCATATTTATTTTTTACAAATCGCTTGATCTGATTTCTTATCTGTTATTACTATTTCAGAGTATTGCGGATTAGCTTTGCAAGTCTCATGTGACAAACATTAGAAAAATTGTTGGATAGCACTAAAATTATAAGCATCTTTTTTATTAAATAAAACATTATTGGTTTGGCCTTTTACTTGTTTCTTTTTACTTTGCAGTTTCTGTTGCATTGCTTTAAATCTGAAATGATTTAAACCAACTTGAAGTAATTGTTTTCACTTAATTTCTATGAATTTTCTGAGCTTCTGATTTTTTTAATCAACCAACATATTACAGTATTATGCATGTGAGTCCCTAAATACATATCTGCGACAGATAAGCTACATATCTGGACAGTCAAACAAGCAGATGGAAACAAGCACTGATAGAAATAACCTATACTATACAAGCACACTGCATACACATATAAAGAAAAAAACAGTGATTTCTGCATTTATTATTGATCTAAATGAATACAAAAGTATTTTAAAACTGCGATATGAGAGAAGGTTAACGGGACTGTTTAGTTTTGCACCAGGATATTTCATTCCACTGTATACTTGTATATGACTGAAATGACAGATAAACATGAACTTGAACTTGAAAGTGCCTAACACACATTTCGTTACACAACATGAAAAAGCTTCCGTTGTAATAACCTGTCTGAGCTTATCCTAATAACTATGTAGTGTAGTACTATGTTCTTCCAATTTAGTAAATCCATTTAGAAAAGCAATACAAGAACATGCAGTAATTTTGTGCATTTTTGTTATTTATTACTTTAACAAAAATGTCCACATCCTGCCAAGTCAACGCCCAGGGCAATAGAGTGGAGATAATAGTGAACACATGGCATACGGGCTTACATTATCTACCTCGGCAATCAGTGCTTCTGGACTGCATGCAAGTATCCCTTCTTTAATGTCTATAATATATACAGTATAAATTTAGTTTGCATATCAAACGAAAGACCATAGACCACAAACTACTACCAAACTGGATGATGTAAAAATAATTAATGCCAGTAAGTAGTGATCATTTTCATAGCAAACTCGCCCATTTAATAACAGAAATCTAGCATAAACAAGATGAGCTGATGATGTCAACAGCTTTGGCAGTAGAAACACAAGAAAGAGGCATCATGTAAGTGATCTCATAATTTAACTTTAATGATTTAACTGTGAAATTAGACTACTTACACCAGAAATATATTATCAATAGTCTGTTCTTTTATTCAAACACTTTTCATTCATTGTAAATACCTGGGTATGTTACTGGATCTCATACTGCAGAGGAAAAAACTTTTCACAACACCAGATGTTAGCTTTATCAAATCTCTTTTGATAAGCAGGATACTTTTCCTATTAGTCAGCTGACTAAACCACATACTGGCATCTCATCCTGTCTCACATGTATCAGGTTATTGAGGGTGAGATCATACCCAGATATAACTGAATAATCATGACACTTTTAATCCTTTCTATATGCATCATATTCTTATGAGCAGTCATGCATGCTCTGCAGAATATTTGTGCTACCTATTATCCTTTTCAAAGCTAAAATTATACAATGAATCAGTACTAACATGAAATATCATTTTATCCTTAATTCAGCCTTGAGATCAACATATTTGTGAACTTTTAGTAGTTACTACTCTCATCATACATACTGTATAATGAACACTGCTGCATTAATAGTTTGGATTTTACATTTACAGTGCCTTGCGAAAGTATTCGGCCCCCTTGAACTTTTCAACCTTTTGCCACATTTCAGGCTTCAAACATAAAGATATAAATTTTTTATTTTATGTG